TGGAAAAATCTGTATGTAAATGGATAGAAAACTTGCTAAAAGATCGTATTCAGAGAGTAGTGGTAAATGATTCATACTCTGAATGGTCTAGGGTTGTCAGTGGTGTACCCCAAGGTTCAGTGTTGGGACCCTTACTTTTTAATATATTTATAAATATATTAGGGTCAGGGATTATAAATACAATTTCAGTCTTTGCAGATGACACCAAGCTGTGCAGTGGAATAACGTCCTTACAGGATGTCTTCAATTTACAAGCCAACCTCAATGCACTTTGTAATTCAGCAACTATGTGCAAAATGAGGTTTAACCTCTTCCTGCCGGCACCTCCCTGTCCTTTAAGAGGTTTCAGATGCTGGGGGGCGGGGCGGGGTTTTAGGGTCATGTGACCACCGTGATTCGCTGTCACGGTGGTCACACGATCAGAAAAGGTCCCAATCGCAAGGGGAGATTGGGACCTTTCCATGAGACACCGACATATGTGCTGGGAGCACGTAGGTTGCATGCTTTCAACACATGTGTGTTTTCAAATGGTATGCAAATATGCGGCCGTTCAGTGTCAAAGCCCAGCCGCCGAGAGGCTGCATATTTGTGTGCGGTCGGCATCATGGGTTAACGTTGATAAATGTAAGGTTATGCACTTGGGGGCTAAGAATATGCATACATCATACATACTAGGGGGAGTACAACTGGGGGGAATCAATGGTGGAGAAGGATCTGGGAGTTCTGGTAGATCACAAGCTTAATAATGGCATGCAATACCAAGCTGCAGTTTCTAAAGCAAGCAAAATCCTCTCTTGTATTAAAAGAGGTATAGACTCCAGAGAGAGAGATATCATATTACCCCGGTACAAATCATTAGTAATACCTCATCTGGAATATGCAGTTCAGTTTTGGGCACCAATTCACAAAAAGAACATTGGGGAACTGGAGAAAAATGCAGAGAAGGGCAACTAAACTGACAAGAGGCATGGAGGAGCTCAACTATGAAGAAAAGTAAGAGGAACTGAATTTTTTCTCTCTCGAGAAGAGGAGATTAAGGGGAAACATGATCAACATGTATAAATACATTAGTGGTTCATATAGTGAACTCGGTGTAGAGCTATTCACCCTGAGGTCATCAGAGAGGACAAGGGGGCACTCTTTACATCTGGAGGAAAAGAGATGTAATCTCCACATACGGAAAGGTTTCTTCACAGTGAGAGCTGTGAAAATGTGGAATAGACTCCCTCAAGAGTTGATCTGGCCAGCTCAGTGGATTGCTTTAAAAAAGGCCTGGATTATTTCTTGGATACACATAATGTAACTGGATACTCACATTTATAGGTAAAGTTGATCCAGGGAATATCTGATTGCCTCTTTTTTTCCCCTGCAGGAGAAAATTGATGCTTTGCTGGGTTTTTTGCCTTCCTCTGGATCAGCTGTGGGTATAGGATTATAACTTGTGTTTTGGGTTTTTTTTAATGGTTGAATTGGATGGACTTTTGTTTTTTTTTCAGCCAGACTAACTATGACTAAGACTAACTATGACTATGAAACAGTAGGTGCCGGAACAAGCAAATCTGACCATCCAAGGACCTAGGACCATCCAAACTTCTAGGTAGTCAGGAATTATGGCAGGAAGATCTCATTGTTGAGGTTTTCAAGACTATAAAGGTCAATGTTTTCCATGAGGCTCTGCCTATGTCTTAGGTCAATTGGCCTTTAAATGTTATGGTTATGGGCACAAGGATCATTTGACCGTACAATATCTGTAAAATCAACATTAGAGCTACAAAACTATGCAGTCAACCTCTATACAATCAGGCACTAAATACTTGTTGGTAGATCTAACAGAGATTGTACGATCAGAGCTTTGTGTATGGTGAGCTTTAGAAAATCTTGAGACAATTTACTTTCCCCCAATTTTGGGGGGCAGGCTGTGGCCGGGGGGAGATGAAAATGCCTCTGTGTATGTTTTTAATGGGATTAAACAATGCCCCAGGGTTGGTAGTCAGTAGAAGTAAACAAATTTCTACCTGTGGTCATTTGGATGAAGAACAGTGCCCCATTGTTAGTGTTAGTGGGAGGAATAGTAGTGCCCCATCGTTGGTGTCAGTAGAGTAAATAGTGCCTTATCATCGGTGTCAGTGGGAAGAATAGTGCGCCATTGTTGGTGTTAGTGGGAGGAACAGTGCCTCATTGTTGGTGTTTTTGAGTTATTGTGCCCCATCATTGGTGACAATGGGAGGAATTGTGCCCATTGTTTGTGTCAGCAGGAGGAATTATGCACCATCATTATGGTTAGCGAGAGGAATTATACCCCATCACTATAGTCATTGAGTGGAATTATGCCCCAACGTTTGTGTCAATGGACGTTATCGTGCCTCTAGCATTTATGTCAGCAGGAGGAATAGTGCTTTAAGAGCCAGACAGCAAGCACAGGGCTGCAGTTTGGGGAACACTGCTATATTAAATACCATTGCATTGACATTATAATACCATATAGGCATTATGTCCAGGATTTTACAGATACAGTGTTATCTTTTCTCACATTTGTTAGACTTTTTTTTTCTTACAAGGGAAATGGTTGCATATACTGTATTATGATTCTATTTCTTTAGCATCCAAGCCAAGAAAATTACTGACATTTAATTAATTTAGCCTTGTAAAAGTTTGGCTGGCAAGGGGTTATTTTTCCTGTGAATTTTACTTTATCAGTAGACTCTTTTCACAATAAAACCTCTGCTGTTCCTGGGAATTGGAGCTTGGGCAATTTAGAGGCTGATCACTAGTGAAGCACGTTGGGCCATATGCCCTTCCCTATGTATCTTGTAAATTACCTCTGGCAATAAAAACACTTCCGTTCAAGCATGCTGATGGTTGGAGGCTCTCAGCTATGATTTCCAGCTGTAAATACACAATGTTTATGTATGTTGAAATACCAATGCATTACATTAGAAACAGATGGCATAAAAAGAACATTCAGGTTTTAAAGTGTTACTAAACCCACAACAGTAAAATCAGCCTGTATATGCAGTAAAGCATGCTTGTTATACTCACTGTGGGTTAAATCTCAATCTCAAGGGGTTAAATCTCTGCATTGTATAAAAAGTCTGTTTGGTCCTGACTTCTCCGCCCCTCCTCTTGTACAAATGGTCAACTGATAAGACAAACTGAACCCATAGCCCTTCTGCACATGCTCAGTTTAGTGTGTATTGCTAGAGAGGATTATTTTTTTCTTGGGAGAGTGCATGTGATCAGCACAGGGCCAATCTGCACTGTCCAGACAGAGGTCGGGGGTTTTGCATCCTTCTAGAGCAGAAAGAAAACTCCTCCTACAAGCTTTAACCAGTGCTCTGCTGAAGTCTCAAGACTGCTCTAACTGCTGATGAGAACAGGTATTTAGCAGTTTATATTTACTAAAATAATTGAATTTCCATGTTCTGTGTACTTTGGGAGATCAGATACATTGAATGCAGCGTCTTGGGTTTAGGTTACTAAACCCAGGACTTTAAGCCTGGGTGATGGTGTGTCTAATACCCACTAGTGCCAACACATACAGCATGTGGGGCTTAAAGTGGTAGTAAAGTCACTTTGTATATACCGTATTTTTCGCTCCATAAGACGCACCTGACCATAAGACGCACCTAGGTTTTAGAGGAGAAAAACAAGAGAAAAAAATATTCTGAACCAATGGACTGCGGACACAGTACAGGATGTTAAATATCGTGACACTTATATTATTTAAGTGTCTGTCTTAGGCGTTTGAGGTAAAGTGTTCTAGTGCCAGGCTGATTTAAAACAGTGTGACTTTTATTTAATTCACACTTAGCATCAAAAATGAATACAAAAGATAAAATAAAATACAGAGTAAAATATAACAAAAGTTGTAGATTATGGAAAAAGAAATAAGCTTTGGAGAAATGTCTAATCTCTTGCCTGTTCTATGACAAGTGTTTCAGTCTTGGCAAGGAAGACAACAGGTGTATCAAAGCTTTGCAGGCCTTAAGAAAACAAAGATGTCAATGCGTGTCAGCTGTATAATGTCTTGATGTATGAATGTGAGTGAGTGTATGTATCTCTCTATCTCTAAGGCACATCTTATATATATTTTACCAGACCAACCCACTAAACAGTTATTTCCTAATTCAGTGTTAGCTAAATAAGTAAAACCCTTATTTGTACTTCTTCTAAACTTATACTCTTAGTGTCCATATATGTAAACCTTCTAAACTTATATTCTTAGTGTCCATATATGTAAACCTTCTAAACTTATATTCTTAGTGTCCATATATGTAAACCTTCTAAACTTATATTCTTAGTGTCCATATATGTAAACCTTCTAAACTTATATTCTTAGTGTGACGTTATCTTCAAACCTCTTAGACGACAGAAATACATGATACTGTTATCTGATATACAATGGCTTCACATATCTTTAGAAAGGACAATGATCACATAAATGCATATAACCAACAATAATTGATACTAAACTTATCACACACTATTCCTAACTAATAAATTGATTATATGAAATAATTATCCAACTAACTATATTATGGATTAGACATGATTTTCTTTATAAAAGACATATCCTTTCTTTGTTCTACTACATATCAATATCTTTTTACATTCCAATTTGCTATTCTTAAAACTAAGCTTATGACCTGCTGACCTCTTAGACATGAATATACCATGGTTCATCTTTAACACCTGTTTTCAAAGTCATCATACACACGCAAAGTTAAAAATGTACTAGCTCAATGACTAGTTGTCATTTTGAAGGATATGAAAAGATACAGACGTCTGTTTTATGCTAAATTAATTTCTACACAGGACATGACCAGAGACTGCGGACACAGTACAGGAGATGACCAGAGACTGCGGACACAGTACAGAGGACGACCAGAGACTGCGCACACAAAACAGGAGATGACCAGAGACTGCGCACACAGTACAGGAGATGACCAGAGACTGCGGACACAGTGCAGGAGATGACCAGAGACTGCGGACATAGTGCAGGGGATGACCAGAGACTGCGGACACAGTACAGGAGATGACCAGAGACTGCGGACACAGTACAGGAGATGACCAGAGACTGCGGACATACTACAGGGGATGACCAGAGACTGCGGACATAGTACAGGAGATGACCAGAGACTGCGGACACAGTGCAGGGGATGACCAGAGACTGCGGACACAGTGCAGGGGATGACCAGAGACTGCGGACACAGTGCAGGGGATGACCAGAGACTGCAGACAGTGCAGGGAATGACCAGAGACTGCAGACAGTGCAGGGGATGACCAGAGACTGCAGACAGTGCAGGGAATGACCAGAGACTGCAGACAGTGACAGTCGGGTGCCCACTGCGCATGCGCGAGAAGCGCTGCGTTTTGTGAATGGCCCGGCGCCTTCTGGGACCTGTCATGTGTCCCAGAAGACACCGGATCATTCACAAAGTGCAGCACATGCGCAGTGGGTACCCGGCTGTCACAGAAGCCAGCGCGGGAAGACTGTGCAGCGCTGGAGCGAGGAACAGGTAAGGCCCTGCAGGAGGGAACTGCTGAGCGGCCGGCCCAGTATTCTGACATGGTAGTGGCAGAAATACCGGACCGGCCGCTTCATATTCGCTCCATAAGACGCACTGACATTTTCCCCCCTTTTTTTGGGGGAAAAAAGTGCGTCTTATGGAGCGAAAAATACGGTATTTACCTACATGTAAACTTTTCATTATATACAATTACACAGCTACATTTTATTTTATTACAGATACTTATATAGCGCCGTCAATTTATGCAGCGCTTTACATATATATTTTACATTCACATCAGTCCTTAATCCTCAAGGGGCGTACAATCTACGGTCCCTAACTCACATTCATACATACACATACTAGGGCCAATTTAGACAGGATCCAATTAACCTAAATAAATGCGTGCATATTTATTACAGTGGCTAGAATAGATGAATATTCTGGCCAGTAGGATGAGTTACGCTTCTAAAAGAGCAGTCTATAGTGACAATGTGCTCCGCAATGAAAATCATGCAGTAGGTGTTGTCACCCTAGTAGAGAAAGTGTGTTACTAGCAGGATAGCCAATTGAAAATAAAAGAAAAAAAAGCCTTATAAAGAAAACTAAGGCAGACATCCCATCTAAGAATGGATAAACTGGGAAATAAAAAAAGATTATTTACAATACAGTAGCTGCAGCCACCAGGATTGTGTATAAAACTGAAGGCAGACTCCTGCTACTCAGGTGGAAACAATCAGGCGGCTCCGCTGCCGCAGATTGCTTCCACAGCCTCCGGTGACGGTGCCCCCGCAGGCGCGCTCCCGCCATCTAACCGGGCTCTGCTTGCCCATCTGTGAGTCTGGGGAGAGCCATGGCGGGTGGAGAGGAAAAAGAGAGTAGACAATCGGCTCCCTTTCTTTGTGTGATCTGGAAGGAGACGTCTATGACATCTCTTCCGGGTCACGGCTGTCACTTTCCCAGCTAGAACAGCCGGGAAAGATCTATTGCAATGCAATATGCATTGCAATACATCTAATGGATCACAGAGAAGGCATTCAGGGTCCTTTAGACTCTGCATGTCTCAATAAAGAGAACCTGTCACCAAAAATCATCACATAGGGGGACTTTGAATCCCCTATGTGATAAAAAATAAAGTTACATCCAAGCACATAACATCCCCCACAAAAGAATTTTGAGGCAGCCCCATCCCACATATACACATGTACGAACGTAAATTCACATGTTGGGGCAACACCTGAAAAAATCAATTGCGAAACACATGTTACATATAGCTGTGCACGCTGGAGTGATAGCAAAAATTCTAGCACCAGACCTCCTCCATAATACTAAACTGATGACCTATAGGGGCTTTTGAAGCATCATCTATAGAAAATATAGGGTACTGAAGTTTGACGCAATTTCAGAGGCGCATACAAATTTAAGGTTTGGCACGTTGGGTATCTATTTGATCGGCACAACCTCGTCTTTTATATTTTACCAAATATTTGGGTAATTTATTGTGTTTGTTTGCCCTAAAATTCACTTTAGTGTGAATTTTACTGAAATGTTGTATTTCTTAGACCTTAGCAATCATATCGTGTGACATACAAAATTGGAACTGCCACTGTTTTATTTTCTAGAGTATCTGCTTTCAAAAAATATGCAATGTCTCAGGGTTTTGTGTATTTTTCAGGCCAAAATTATTTTTTAAACATGTGTGCAATAAAATGCAAAAACAGCTCTGGCAGTGAAAGGGTTAAGTGATAAAACCTGCTCAGAAGTACTAAAGATAGGAATAGGAGCTGTAAAATATACAGTATTTGTGAATTGGTAATATATTCGGAAGTTCAATGGATTATCGAGTCATACATTTTATAATGGATTATCGAGTCATACATTTTATAATGGATTATCGAGTTATACTTTTTATAATGGATCATTGAGTCATACATTTTATAATGGATTATCGAGTCATACATTTTATAATGGATTATCGAGTCAGGATCAGTACATTTTATAATGGATTATCGAGTCATACATTTTTATACTAACCACAACGTACAAAGCCATCCACAACACTGCCCATATAATAATAATTATGATCCCTGAACAGCTTGTTTAGATTCAAACCTATTTCGAGGTAAAGGCACCAATCAGGCCATTTATATCAGATTATCAGATGCAGAAAACATTAATCTTCCTGAAAGATCAAATTGCACCAATAAAAGCTTTTCTGTTAGTGAAGAGTAGGTCACTGTTTGACATGGTTTATAATTTCAGTCATGTCTGCAAGATTTTTTTCCTCTATGTGGTCCAACAACTATAACATGTATGATGTGTCCACTGGCTTCTATTTTGGGGAAGAATAGACTTGAATTGAAGTTGCCTTTTCCATCTGTCAGTAGAATTATTTTAGTGCCTTGTGCTGAGACATGTAGGTTTTTGTTAACCTAAATCGGGGAATAAATTGCAAATTTTCAAATACAGTACATGACTAAATGGGATTATGTTAGATGGACAACATTCAGGTTCACATAATACCCAGCTGTCAGAGCTTTTTAAAGTGTACAAGGATAGTACCTTTCATGTTGCTATTACCCCAAGCAAGCTGCAGTCTATCAATTGAGATGATTCAACCAAATTGATATTTTAGCCCGGTATCCTTCCAGGTATAGAATTTTTTTTACTTGGGTCCATTGATTCAGCTTTGACCAAAATACACTATGCATATGTCATACATGTGGTATCCTCTAGACTAGGGATAGGCAACCTTAAAGAGGTGGAGATCTACCTGAACAACATGAGAGAATTCAAAGATCACAGTTTTGCCTCCTCACACTTGATTGAAACGTCTAATTGCCGTCCTACTGTGTCACAATCGTGTGCATTGCATGGCAATCATGGATTTAAATCAAGTGGTGAAGAGGCAACATATCACCTCCCCACCACCTGTCAAACACACTTGGATCTCTTTGTGCCTTCTGCACTTGTGCATCCGGCAGCAGCACATTTAGGGCTTGTTCACATGTAAAGTTGGATGGTGATAAAACCCTGTGGTTGAGTTGCAGTTTTACTGCCCCCAATCTTTACGCTCTTTAGCTGCTGAGGCAGCAGCCAAAGATGTTAACATGTCACAGGGGGAATTAAACCCCCTGTTGCTATTGGTGGGTACCACTGCCTACCAATCACGACCTATTCAAGTAAATGGGGCCACTCTGCAAGCACCCCGCAACTGCATGCTTCTGCAGGATCCAAGGATTTTAAAGCAGTTCGTGAGAAAGCAACCCACCGCTGCCTGTTTAACCCCTTGTTTGATGTACTGCACAAGGTTGCAGGGCACTTGCACAGCGGCTTCATTCACTTGAATGGGTCATGCTTGGCAGGTGCTACACCCACCAACCATGACAGGACATAGGAGCCAGCACTGCAGAGGAGACATCGGCTTATGCGGCTCTAGCTCCCTACTACAGCTCCAACTTTACAAGTAGTCCCTCTTCATTGCACTCTGTTTCATGCTCTGGGATGGCAGGTCAGCAAGCCCTGACTGTGATCTACCAGTCACCTGGCCGAAATCCACTGATTGCTGACCCCCGCTGTAGAAGTTGGAAATCACTGTAGTAGACACCGTTATTCCTGTTATTTCCACTACCTAGCTGCTGCCCTTTTTCATTGTGAACATGGGAGGCTGGCGGCTGGGTACTGGTGCCATTCTGAAAATGCATTGCATTTTCTCAATGATGGCAAAGTATTCTCTGATTAGACAAGGTGGAGAAGGCAACGTCACCACCACTTCCTATGATATCTCCAAGACAGAAAGTAAACGCAAATCTCAACTGGAAACAGGAAAAAATGAATTGGACAGAAACGTGTGGGGCACTGGATCATTTTGGTATTATAGCAGTTTCTTAAACTGTGTACAGTTGCAAGAAAAAGTACGTGTACCCCTTGGGATTACGTGGAGTTTTGCATGCATTGGGCATAAAATGTGCTCTGAACGTCATCTAAGTCACAACAATAGAAGAACACAGTCTGCTGAACATAATACTACACAAACATTAGATGTTGCCATGGTTTAATTGCACATAACATGTAAACATTCACAGTGCAGGGAGCAAAAAGTATGTGAGGTCCTAGCTTAATGTCTTCTCCCAGAGCTAATTGGAGCCAGGAGTGAGCCAACCTTGACTCCAATCAGTGTGATGATATATGGATGTGTTGCTGACAGCTGTCTTGCCCTTAAAAAACACACACCTGTTTGAGTTTACTGGTTTCAAGAAGCACTGTCTGATGTGAACCATGCCTCGCAGAAAAGAGCTCTCAGAAGACCTACGATCAAGAATTGTTGACTTGCATGAAGCTGGAAAGGGTTACAAAAGTATCTCTAAAAGCCTTGATGTTCATGTGTCCACGGTAAGACAGACTGTCTACAAATGGAGAAAGATTAGCACTGTTGTTACTCTCCCTAGACGTTGTCGTCCTGTAAAAATGACTGCAAGAGCACAGCGCAGAATGCTGCATGAGGTAAAGAAGAATCCCAGAGTGTCAGCTAAAGACCTACAGAAATCTCTGGCACATGCTAACATTTTGTTGACAGATCTACAATAAGGAAAACATTAAACAAGAATGGAGTACATGGGAGGACACCACGGAGGAAGCCATTGCGGTCCAAAAAGAATATTGCAGCACGTTTGAAGTTTGCTAAAGAGCACCTGGATGTTCCACAGCACTACTGGCAAAATATACTGTGGACAGATGAAACCAAGATTGAGTTGTTTGAGAAGAACACACAACACTATGTGTGGAGAAAAAAAGGCACAGCACACCAACACCAAAACCTCATCCCCACTGTAAAACATGGCAGAGGGAGCATCATGGTTTGGGGCTGCTTTGCTGCCTCAGGGCCTGGACGGATTGTTGTCATTGATGGTAAAATGAATTCCAGAGTTTATCAAGACATTTTGCAGGAAAACGTACGACCATCTGTCCGCCAACTGAAGCTCCGCAGAGGATGTGTGATGCAACAGGACAATGACCCAAAGCATACAAGTAATTCAACAAAACAATGGCTG